TTTTTAAACCTTCTCAAGTCAAACTGAATCCATTCTCCACGTCTGTTTCTCTTGGCAGACCATCCACCCATGTACCTTCCTCTTCGCTTCAGGTGCAGACGAGCGAGCCATGGGGCGTGGTATCTGTTCCATTGACTTGATGCTGTGATGTATCTGTTGGGCAGACGCTTGTTGGAAATACCACATGCAGCTGGTACTCGAGTAGGAGCTTTATAACACAAAGAAAATTAATACGCAAGCTGTAAAATAAACGAACCATTATTTCATGTCTTAATTTTAGTATAACTTACTGTATCGGCGACCATACAGTTCTACTCTCATAGACATATGACGGTGCCAGGATTGTGGGTAGATGCGGACATATCGAGCAGAGAATGGTCGTAGACGGTGGAAAACCACGGAAGTCCTGTCTTTGTTGCCACGTAAACTCTGTAATAAAGCATGCCGTTTACAAATTTGTCTAAATTTCCTTCAGTTCTATTCTACAGGTACTAATCTATAGATACCTCTAATAATTCTGATTTTAGACTAAGTTTTAATCCAAAAAATTCAAGTATAACAACGAAAGAAATTAGACTTACATAAATCCTTCTTCCAGCTCTATAAAACGGGAAACGTCGTCCGTCTCTGCTGTACCTCAGTCGGTATCTTGTCACCCATTGACTATGGTCTTGTCGTCCCTGGGTAGCAATACCAGTCACGAGGGCAAGGCTTCCAATATCAATTTGCAGCCACTGGCCATATCTGTTGTGTCTTGAACACCATGCACCAGCTTGTCCCTTTCGATATAAGTTGAGTCTGGCATTTGCTGGTCTGTGTTTGCGGTCCCACATGGACGAGGCGCTGAATGCTGAGTCGGGAATACGGCCATCTTGAACTCCAAGGGCTCTGTTTCCTGAAATGTACCACATTTTATCGCATTAATAGGTTATGTTGCCGTTAAACAATATTTTGTTCTGCGATCATTTTATTTTCCTGTAATCGTGCAAAATAGTTGGTTGTAGAAGATGATTGATTCTACATACCAGCGTTGCGACCATACAGCTCAAGTCTCATGGAAATATGGCCTCTCCAGCTGATTGGGTGAATACGAATGCTTCTTGCTTTGATGCTTGGTCTTAGAACGTGTCGAACTATGCTATTGCGGTTTCTGTTTCCGCGGAATACCTATAGGGTAAAGGATTAAGGAAAATGAATTAGAAAATTAGGTGGCTTTCAGGGTTGCCTGGAACAGATAACTGAGGAGAAGGTGCTGCCGCTGTAGTTAAACTTCTTTTAACTTTTTTTTGAAGTCCAAACATTTTCCGCGCCCTTTCATGGAACACTGAAAAAAGTTTTTGAACTACCCTAATTACAGGAATAACGTACAAATATTTCAAACAATTTGTGTGTAGATAAAATGATATTGTTGGAAAGGAGAAATAATTTGAGAATGTGTCGCCCAGTGCTGTTTCTTTAGGAATACACACTGATCGTACACAAGCCATGCATTGACCAAGTATCTGTTTTTAATTACCGTATATCGACCACGTGATCTGTGTCGTATAAAGTGTACATTATCCAAGCTGTAGGTTATGTAGTAACTTGTAACCCACTGGTTGGCGTTCTGACGACCTTGCGTTGCAATGGCTGTAACTTTTTTAGGACGACGGAAATTGACCTATTAGAGATAAAAAAGGAATGAAAGATTAAAGATTCTTCCTGCAAGAATTATATATATATTTGATTTGGAATCTAGGCGTGCAATACAGTGTTTGTCACAACGAAAATATTCCATTACTTTCTAATGTCTCTTGTTAAAATGAAATATTTTGCACCAACAACGACGAAATATGCTATTTATAAAATATATTTGTTTAATCTTTCCACGGATGTTTATCTTCTACGAAAACTTTTAAACTTATGCTTTACAGACACTATTTTTTGCAAACCTCACACTAACGTTCACGTTGACAGAACTAGAACCTGTAAGACCTAATCTTCTAAATGCCTTTCATAGAATATCATCTGCTATTCGTATTTTTGGTTCCGAGAACTTTGAATCAAGTTCATATATGTCAGTATATTGTATTTTTAATGTTTCTCATTAGTATTTAGAATTTGAAAAAGGAATACTTTTTAAAGGAACTTCAGTATATGGCACTCATGTCCTGTCATTCTTTCCCTCAGCTAGTTCTTTTTATTATCTTTCCCTCAGCTAGTTCTTTTCATTATTATTAAATATATATTTTTTATAAGTACGAGATGTAAAGCAAAAAAGTAAATAAATAAAATATATATATTAAATATTAATATATAATTCACCTGCTGTGAATTATTGGGCCGATAATCTGGAACTAGTAAAGTATGGGGGAAAAAGCTCCCCAAATGCGGATAATTCGTTCGCGCTGAGAAAAGCGAAATCACCTGTGAAATCACCTGGTACAGATTGTTTCATAGATTGCTGGAAACTAGAGAAAGAGAGCAAAATTTAATTAACATTTTACCTGTATGTACTGCTTTCGGTTATTATGTCTTGCTGACCAACCACCTTGGTATCTTCCTCGTGCACGTCTGTTTAGTCTGGCCAAGAAGGGACCGTGGTTACGGTCCCAGCTTGAGGATGCACGAATCTGGTTGTTACGGATGCGACCGTTCTGCATTCCAAGGGCACGGAGGCGAGGTTTTGGTAATCTTCCTAAAAAGATAAAAAACACGTTTTCAAATCTATATTTTTTATAATTCATACAAATGCGTTATTACTTTGGCAACATCACTTTTGATGGGTTTGAACTGATATCTTTACCTAATCGTCTTCCTCTGAGTCCTATTCTCATAGAGATGTGTGAGTGCCACGTTCGTGGATGGATTCTGATATAACGAGCTCTAATGTAAGGCCTTAAGCTACGAGTAACAACAGTGCTTCTGTCCGTGTTACCAAGCAACACCTGTAAATAACATAAGGTAAAACAAAGGAATTAAGAGTTATGATCAAGTGGTATCAATCGGCTATTAAGGGAAGTTTTGCATTTTTGTATTTCATAGACCTTTTTTAGTATTTGTACTACCTTACTGTGATATATCTCTATTGCTTTTATCTTCACGATAAAACACACTAAAGGCTTTATTTGATTTGAAATATTTATACGAACTTACCCTCACTCTTCCTCTTAACTTGTAAGGCTTAAAGTGTCTTCCATTGTTGCTGTACGTTACAGTGTATGACTTGACCCACTGGTTCGCATCTTGACGACCCTGGGTAAGAATCTTACTGATGATGGTTGCTCTCCCAAAGTCAACTTGGATCCATTGTCGTCTATTATTCTTTCTAGCAGACCATGCTCCTGTCTTCCTTCCACGTCGAACAGTGTTGAGTCGAGCACGTGATGGACCATGGTTGCGGTTCCATTGCGATGAAGCTCTGAAGTTTCTGGATGGTATCTTTCCATCTTCCACGCCAATCGGTATTTCATAAAGTGCTGTAAATAGAACCATATATTGAGTAAGCAATGCCAAAGTGTTTTTTCGCCATTTTTAATTAACTAAAATGTCATTCAAAACAAAACTCAGGATTTAACGAAATCCTAGGGACACTATGACAGCTGAATAGCATGGAGGTATTTGGAACCGCATTTGCCATGCACTTTTTAAAGAAATCGCAATTAAATTTTCTAAACATTACCAATAAAAAAAAAAAAATAATAATAAAAGAATACACGGATTTCTAGCTAAATGTTTTTAGTATCTCTTATACTAAAAATCTATTCAAATGTCTCTCGTTCTTTCTTTGCGAGAAACTTATAAAAGTGATATTTTAAAAAAATCCCGCCTGGAGCTTGGAATATTTTTCCGAGAAAAAACATTAGTTCGAACAAACATAAAGCACGAAAAACACCAAAATATAATAGTTTGTTGTCCTTCTCTGCAGTTAATCATCTGCATTCATTCAAAGAACTCTTCAAGTTTGATGCCAATTGCAACGAAAGTCACAAGAAAGGTTAAAATAAATTAATTACAAGTGAATCGTTTTAGTCCACATAGCTGGCGAGCGAGAAAAGCCCTCTGACTATCCATTGCGAGGTTAAGTAAACGAGATTTGGATTGAGGTTAACTAAACTTGATGGATTTCAAATGCATTGTGGGATTGTTTAAGGGAACGAAATAGACGCCATCTTGACAACATGTCTCCCAAAACACTCCCACAAGGCACTGCAAATCTAAATCTAAATATTTAATTGATTCTCTTAAGTTAAATAGTTCTGCTCATAGAAGAATTACTAGGTTTTGTGATCACAATTTCAAAACTTCCAAGTACGATAGAGTAACCGAAGAGGAAAAGACATTTCAAGTTACTACTATCCAATCATGGAATAGTTTATCAGTCGATCTTAAAAAAACAAGCATCTCTTAAAAGTTTCAAAAATATGATGTGGAAGAGATATTACGAAGATAAATCATCATTGCCTCATTTTATTCCTTGAATTCTTTGTTTTCATTTAGGGTTTGATTTATAATAGTTTTAAATTAAAATTTATATTTTTCATTTTTCCTGTCATTAGTAGTATCGTAGTATTTTAGATTTTATCTTTGAATGATTTGTAATATTTTATGGTCTTACGTTTTGTCACTGTATGTACACTATTACGTGTTTATGCTTATTATCAATAAATAAACTCATTGCTGTATTACTTACATGCTCGTCTACCGTAGAGCTCAGTCCTGAGGGAGATGTGTCCTTGCCATGTTCTTGGGTAGATTCGTACATACTGAGCTGTGATCGTTGGTTTGAAGTAATTTTCTTTCAGTGAACTTCTATCACGGTTTCCTGGTAAAACCTGTTATTGTTAAAAAATCACGTAGGTAAATTATATGTCGGAAAAAGGGGCATATTGTTGTTTAAATGATGAAAACGGCTAACTAAGAAAAGTTTATATACTGTCTCTAAATCTTATAACCTATTCACACCTAAACGTGTTTAGTTAAACTATGTTTTTATTAGGAAAAAAATTGAGAAACTAGAAACCTACAATATAATGAAACTTTCAAAAATAGTGTCAGAGCAAGACAAAGGATAGCTTACAGGCACTATTTCACCAAATATTGTGCAGTGTTCGCAGATAGTTTTCCAAACCTGTTTAGTTAAACCACTTTAAAACTGTTTTAGCCTTGGTGTGAATGGGGTATTACCTTAGTTACACTATTCCTTTTGTACCACACCCATCGTCTTCCATCTACACTGTAACGGATGATAAAGCTTTTCACCCACTGGTTCGTGTCGCTTCGTCCTTGAGTTACAATCTTGTAGATCCTCTTTGGTGATCTCAAGTTAAACTGAATCCATTGTCTCCTGTTATTTCTACGAGCTGACCATCCTCCAACTAGACGTCCACGTCGTTTACGATGCAGACGAGCGAGCCATGGGGCGTGGTTTTTGTCCCATTGACTGGATGCTGTGATGTATTTGTTGGGCAGACGGCCATTGGAAATACCACATGGGAATAAACGAGGACGTGAAGGGCGACCTGTTGGAAGATTAAATTGAGTTTCCAATAAAACTCTGATCTAGATGCCTAACAATTGAATATTTACGTTAGAAGCGACTGTATGATATTAACTCACCATATCGTCTTCCATACAGTTCCAACCTCATAGAAATGTGTCCATGCCAGCTTCTTGGGTAAACACGTACAAAACGTGCTCTCAGAGGACGAACAAATCGGTTGTATACTATGGTATTTCTATTACGATTAGCTTGGAATGTCTAAAGGGAGAAATATGTATTCATAAGCGAGTATAAATGCAGACTGTTTTTTCCCTGATGAGATACAATTTCTTGTAAATACTTTAAACATAATGTCAAGCCTTTAGCAACACCACTTTTTTTCTAGCGTGGTGTGTTAGATTTGGATACAAGTTATTTTAAACATATATTTTGGCAATTTGTTTCATGCTTACCACTGTTCGTCTTCCATGCCTATAGGGTATAAATCGCCTTCCATTTGTACTATACGTCACGTAGAAGCTTTTCACCCATTGATTATAGTCGTGTCGTCCTTGGGTAGCAATACCGGTAACTCGGGCAAGACTTCCGATATCAACCTGAAGCCACTGTCCATGTTTGTTGTGTCTTGCACACCACGCTCCTGCTTGTCCTCGTCGATATAAGTTGAGTCTGGCATTTGCTGCTCTGTGTTTGTAATCCCAGATGGATGAGGCGCTGAAAGCGCGTTCTGGAATACGACGGTCTTCGACACCAAGAGGCAAGCGATGTATACCTGCAAACGAGTGTAAAAAATATAAAATAAAAAATGCCCGTAATATACCGAAACTATATATCTAAAGTTTTGGTTGGGAAATACCGATGTTTCATCGTCTGAGTTAATATGTCATAATTAATTTTATGAGAAGAATTCGTCGTAGTTATTAAATTCAAGAAAGTAGGTTTCCAACTACAAACCTGCATTTCCTCCATAAAGTTCGAGTCTCATGGAAATATGTGACTTCCAGCTGACGGGGTGGATACGAACACTCACTGCTCTGATGGCTGGTCGGATTTTTCTAAGAACCACTGTATTACGGTTACGGTTGGCGTTGAAAATCTATAAAAAGGGATATATAGCTCTTATTAACCTCGTTTGCTCGGTCCGTACCGTAAGTTATGGACCGAGTTTTTTCCACTGCCTTATGGCCCAAGCGCGTAGCGCGCGGGCCATAAAAAAGTGGAAAAAACGAGGATCCATAACTTACGGTACGGACCGAGCAAACGAGGTTAATAAGATACTTATTATATGGCAAGGCATTGAGATCAAAAAGAGGCGAAGCAACAAAAAGTAAAGTTAACA